TTCGCCCAGCCCGCGCTACCTGGAGCTGGACTTGACGAGCGGAGCGCTCTTCGTCAACGAGCGCATCGACCGGGAGGCGCTGTGTGAGCAGCGGCCTCGCTGCCTGCTCAGCTTGGAGGTGCTGGCGCACAACCCCGTGGCGGTGAGCGCCGTGGAGGTGGAGGTACTGGACATCAATGACAACTCGCCGCGCTTCCCGCGGCCCGACTACCAGCTTCAGGTAAGCGAATCGGTGGCGCCCGGAGCGCGCTTTCACATAGAGAGCGCGCAGGACCCCGACGTGGGCGCCAACTCGGTGCAGACCTACGAGCTCAGCCCCAGCGAGCACTTCGAGCTGGACCTGAAACCCCTGCAGGAGAACAGCAAGGTGCTGGAGCTGGTGCTGCGCAAGGGCCTAGACCGAGAGCAGGCAGTCTGGCACCACCTGGTTCTCACAGCTGTGGACGGGGGCAGCCCAGCCCGCTCGGGCACGGCACAGATCTCCGTGCGTGTCCTGGACACGAATGACAATTCTCCCTCCTTCGACCAGTCCACTTACCGCGTCCAGCTTCGCGAGGACGCGCCCCCGGGCACATTGGTGGTGAAGCTGAATGCCTCAGACCCAGACGAGGGCTCCAACGGGGAGCTCCGGTATTCCCTGAGCAGCTACACGTCGGACAGGGAGAGGCAGCTCTTCAGCATCGATGCCCGCACAGGGGAAGTGCGGGTGAGCGGGGCGCTGGATTATGAGGAGGCCTCTTCCTATCAGATCTATGTGCAGGCGACTGACCGGGGTCCGGTGCCCATGGTGGGTCACTGCAAGGTGCTGGTGGACATTGTGGACGTGAATGATAATGCGCCAGAAGTGGTGCTCACAGACCTGTACAGCCCGGTGCCTGAGGATGCTGCACTCAATACCGTGGTGGCCCTTCTCAGTGTCAATGACCAAGACTCAGGCCCCAACCGGAAAGTGAGCCTGGGCCTGGAGGCCACACTGCCTTTCCGACTGAATGGCTTTGGAAACTCCTACACACTGGTGGTGAGTGGCCCGCTGGACAGGGAGCAGGTGGCTGCCTACAACATCACAGTGACAGCCACTGATGGGGGAGTACCACCTCTCACATCCCAGAGGACACTGCAGGTTGCAATCTCTGACATCAATGACAATCCACCAAGCTTCCCGAAGGACTCCTACTCCGTCTACATCCAGGAGAACAATTTGCCAGGAGTGTTGCTCTGCACAGTACAAGCCACAGACCCAGATGAAAAGGAGAATGCAGAGGTGACCTACTCCCTCCTGGAGAGGGAGATTCAAGGGCTGCCAGTCACCTCCTATGTCTCCATTGACAGTGCCAGTGGCAGCCTTTACGCTGTCAACTCCTTTGACTATGAGAAGTTTCGGGAGTTCTTTGTGACCGTGGAGGCCCAAGACAAGGGGAGCCCACCACTGAGCAGCACTGTGACCGCCAACGTGTATGTGGTGGACGTGAATGACCATGCCCCTTACATCCTGTACCCTACCTCAACCAATTCGTCAGCAGCCATTGAGATGGTGCCTCGGACTGCCCCTGCTGGCTACCTGGTCACCAAAGTCATAGCCATGGACTCAGACTCTGGGCAAAATGCTTGGCTCTTTTACCATCTGGCCCAGGCTTCTGATTTGGACCTTTTCAAAGTAGAACTACACACAGGAGAAATTAGGACTACCAGGAAGATCGGAGATGAGAGTGGAACCACTTTCAACCTGACCGTGGTGGTCCGGGACAATGGAGATCCATCACTATCAGCCTCTGTATCCATTACAGTAGCTGTGGTGGATAGAGTTTCCAAAACCCTCCCTGATACTCAGAGACATGTTAGGAGTCCTCGGACATTCTCTGAAATAACACTTTATCTAATAATAGCATTAAGCACAGTGTCTTTTATATTTCTTTTGACAATCATTGTTTTGAGCATCATCAAGTGCTACCGCTACACTGCATATGGCACCGCGTGCTGTGGAGGCTTTTGTGGAGTGAGGGAGCGGTGCTCTGCAGAACTGTACAAACAGGCCAATAACAATATTGATGCCAGGATACCGCATGGCCTCAAAGTGCAGCCTCACTTCATTGAAGTGCGAGGGAATGGCTCCCTCACTAAGACCTACTGCTACAAGGCCTGTCTGACAGCAGGCTCAGGGAGTGACACTTTCATGTTTTACAACACAGGGGCGCAGACAGGACCTGGGCCTGGGGGAGCTCAAGCAGCAGCAAGTGACAACAGGCACCTCACAGGCCAAAGTGGACAGAGTGCTGGGAACCTGATTATTCTAAAAAATGAGGCTATTTCTCAACATGAGGTGAGATAGTAGTTGGTGGGGGGGTGTCTTCCATAAGGTCATGCATTTTTCACACACCCCTCCTGCCCTCAGTATCCTGTGCATGGCTTTATTAGGCTATTAACAGTGACAGGAGTTATCTGGTAAACTGAGTATATATAGTATCTGTGCTTTGATTATAATCTGCTGTTTCCTCTGTAGAAAAGTAGTAATAGACAGTTGTTTTACCTTACATTTTCTTTACAGATAGGAAGACTTGACCATAACATTGCTTGAGAAATAAGGATTAGTCTTAAATATTTGATGTTAAAATACAGCTCTGTAGAGAAATAGTATAGGCCTTAGAATAAAATGATGCTATAGGGCATAACATTATGAGATTCAAGGAGAAATAGCCTCTGCTGTCTATAATAATCTATAATAATCTATAATAATAAAAGCATAATATGCTAACTAGACCAGACATCTTTCCGGGCGTCCTTCCAGATGACCTTCCAGAAGAAGCCGGGCTGCGAGGGAAGCCCGGGTCCCGGGTGCCAGAGGGAAGCCAGTGCTGGCAGCTGGGGGATGGAAGGCCTATGCTTGCATGAATTTCATGCATTGGGCCACTAGTGTTATATAAAGGGAAAGTTCTCTTTTGATATGCTATAGGAGTGTTGTGTTTTTAAAAGCTCTGAAACCTCTAGGGGCTGTGGTGATCACCTCTGTATGCTGTTCCTGTTTATACCTCGGATCATCTATAGTGAAAATTATCCAGTCAATATTTCTAGTAATTGCACTGAGCTAATGTGATAGGATATTCTGGAAATTGATGGCAGAGGTGATATAACCAAAGAATGTGGACCTCACCCTGAAGCCAAAGTTTACTTTGGCGGTTTGCTGTGGTACCTCTTCTGTATGGGCTGTCAGAGGAAATGAATGGTGGTGAGCAGAGAGACAGAGAATCGCTTTTTGTCTGGTTGGACCAGGGAGATAATGAGTGGGTTAGGGATGTGGGGATATGCTGAAAACCAGAATAAGCTGGGGTTGAGAAGAAAGATGAGGGGGAAAGAACTCTCCTAAAAGCCACCTTTTTTGGCATATAGTGAATTCATTGCAAGAGGATTTCCCTGCATTTAGCTTAAATACAATCTGTAATCTTTTGATTCCCTGTTGATAATCCCTAAGGTTTTGATGAGATGTGAACTAGCCTCTTCAAGCCCCTCTTGTCTTCTTTTTAAAATTTGTATTTATTGATTTTAGAGAGAGCTAGAGATAGGAAGAGAAACATTGATTTGTTGTTTCACCTTTTTAATGCATTCATTGATTGATTCTTGTATGTGCCCTGACCGGGGATCAAACCCACAACCTTGGTGTATTGGGACGACCAACTAAACTACCCAGCCAGGGCAAGCCCCTTGAGTCTTTAAGTTAAATGACAATTCTTCAACAGGTTCCAAAGCACACATTCATTTTCTGGATCTAATATTTAGTTTGCAATAGCTACAAATGCCTTGGAAAATGGATGGCTTACTGTACATGAAAGACAGGTGTTTGTAAATACACTAGTGTTAAGTGGGCATAAGGCCAGCCTGCTCATGGTTGTAAAGAATGTCTGTAAATTATTGGACAGTGCATGCATGTGTGGATGTGTTTATATAGATGTTTGTCTCAATAAGCATGCTTACAATAATAGAAATCTGCTTTGTGATCCTTTAAACTTGGATTTCAGAAGCCAAAAATTTCCCCATAAACAGTGATGAATTGTTATCTTCTTACACAACTACTTTGTCTAAGACTTTTAGAGCTACTACAAATCAATTAATAGTAATTGTCCCTCCTATAATTTTGTGATGCATTTTCATTGCCATTTTGCTGTCTTTTTATTAATGTGCACAGATTCACATTCTAAATCCATGCTAAACTTGAGGAAAGTAATGCATCTGCACAGAACTCCCGCCCCCCACCCCGCCCAGCAAACGAGAGATGGGTTGAGAGAATTTTCTGTGTTCATTGTAGGCGGATGTAGAAAGTCAGTGCTGAGCAGCCATGGGAGGCAGATTGAAGATTAAGAAAAACAGGAGGGAAAATCAAGGAGCTTCTAGAATTCTTTAGATCATAGCTTTTGGAAGCATGTCAAAGGGATTGACTTTAAGTAAAGATGCTGTAAGATATTTGCTTAACAAATTCCTGTGAAACCCTCCTGGGCCTAGGGTAGGCCACAGACAATGAAGAGGGGTGGAGAGCAGGCCAGACTAGCGTTGCCACCAGCTGTGAGCCGGAAGCTCAGGGGAATGACAAGCTTACTCTCTATCTCTTGGCTCAAAGCTTGGGGCAATTGGATACATGAACTATTTGTTTTACACTGACCTATGTGTTAATGTGTACTTTGGTATACAGACCTTTCATCTAGGAAGCAAATTCGATGAGATAAGTGCTTGCTCTTGTGGGATTTTGGCAGGAGAGTGCATGATTTTAATAAAGGCAAATTTCTGCCAGACACTTTGGGAAATCCAGCGAAGGGCCCGAAGACTTACAGCTCCTGAAATTGTTGCAGTGGTGGGGAGGGAGTGTCACATTGCCATAGCCTGGCAAAATGGGAACAAAAACCAGTCAACTCTGAAAGTCATCACTGCTAATCAACCTGCTAAATTCCCATGTTAGGCTTTCTCATTTCCACACCTAGTTTCTGCAGATGGCAGGAGGGTCCTGGGGTGCAATTAAGGCCATGTGCCTACATTAAAATCAGATGGGAGCCGGAGAGGATGAGTAAGGGAATTTGCACTGACTACCCTGCTATATGAAAATATTCTACTTTGCAATATATGTATGGTTTCATTACTTGTAAATCACATTAAACATTGATCAGTAACGTGAGGAAACAAGCTCAGAGAGGTTGTGACATACGAGTCACTCTGCTAGTAGTATTTTAACTCACGTCTGTCTGACTACAAAGACTGTGCTGTTTGAAATAGCATGAGTTCGCAAGAATCCCAATGTTTATACTCCTTCTGACATAGGATTCTCAGGCCTTTAGGTTACTACTAGGTTCACCTAGTAGTGTGAATTAATTGCTTTTGGAAAAAGAGTAATTCCTTGCATAGAAGTAGGTCACAAATGGAAGGATCAATGAGTAAAAATGTTACTACCAAGCTAATATATTTTTACTTGTTTATTTGTTTTACAATTTGCACAACCTATTAAGATCTTTTATCTTGGTCCTTTCTCTGATTTCTCTCTTGTTGCTTATTAAACATCAGCATTTAACAGCAGACTCTAATCTTTTGATGAGTTTTACTCCCCAGTGAACCACTTGGGCAATGAGGTTTTTGAAGTAACTTTTTGGGAATAGGGCAGAATTTCTCTTCAGAGATTTCTGAAAACCTGACACTGAATGTGGTTAGCACTGCTTTCAGAGTCTCCAAGTAAAGGAATCAAATCTTCAGGTGAATTCTGTGCAGTTGTGGTCCTGTGACTACTGCTGAGTCCCTTTGAGCAATCTGGGCAGATTTGTTTAACTGGGCCTCAGTGGGACCAGTTGGTACAATATGTGAAAATTGCCAAAAGACGAGCAGAAACGAGTTGTTTTGCATTCACTTTCATTTATTTTCAAAACAATTAGTAGTCTCCAAATCTTCAGTTATTTCAGCCACTGTGTATACAGATTTACCCCAATTCTAGGTGCAGTGGCCTGGAGAGTTAACACTTTTTGTTAAGTGGCACCTAATTTATTTCCCCCCGGGACTAACTTTTCTCTCTGGTGACTCTGTCCTGGAATAGAATTTACACTTAGTGCGAAGTGTTATGGTGGCAAATTTGTAAGAAGTGCACGATGGTCAGAATAGCTGAAGAAATTGTATCTGAGCTTCCCATTCCAGTGTTTCATCCTTGAATGGGTGAGGCTGTTTTGTTTTGCTGTTTCCATATTGGTTATAGGACTGTCCTTCTGGAAAAAGGTTAATTTTCTTTTGTATGATAATATAATAATTTCTTCAAATTACCTCCTTTCTCCCTTTTCTGCAGATATGCTGAGCCAGATGGAATTATGGCTGAGCTCTTCTCTGTCTCTTTATCTTGTTCATATTCTGACTGATGAAGAAATCTAGTTACTGTAGCTTGAATGTCATTGGCTTACCCTTTCCTCTGACCCAGGAGTGAGCCGTCATATGGGCATCTGGTCTACCTCAGAACACTCTGCAGGGACACAGTCTGGCATATTATAAATGGTCTATTGGCATGCTGTCTGCTTGACAGAAGAGCAGAGTCAGTTCTGGATACTTGCCTTGGTTGGCCACCAATTTTTGCTTGCAATTGGAGGTCAGGATGATATCAGTTTGTAAATGTTTGAGGAAAAATTGTCATTCCCCATGCCCCAGACGTTGAACTAAATTTAATGGGGATTTACAGTGTCTTTGTGACTTTTGTAGGACTTCACCTGCCCCCATGCATATTATAGTGTGAATACAAATTTAGCTTATTTATATAAAATTTTGAGCATTGTCATCTCTAATCAGGATTTCAATAATCAAAGGCCAAGAGAAATTCTTAGTGTTTTAAATTTGTGAGCCTAAATGTTATACAAGTTTTTCTTTCAAGAATTTGGACTTGAGAAATGCGAAGAAATATTTAACATTGCAAAGGTGACGAGAAATGTTAGTTCTTTGGCACATAAGCAGCCTTAGTTTCTTTCTGGCCTCGCAGGGTTGGAACTCTGGGCTCCAGGGAAGTGAAACTGTGAGTGAGAGAGTAACTGCTGTGTTAGCAGGCTGTGCATTCAGAATTAAGCAAACCTAGTATTTTCTGTTGTACTGAAACCTATTAGGTCTTTTTAAAAGTTATATTTATTTTACTTTCTTGCTCTGTGAATTAGGGGTTGTAAATGGCTTTAGAGGCAAATATTTAACCTAGAATTCTCATGTTTATCATCTTTTTAATTTGCTTTACTAGGCAACTAATATGTAACATAACAATTATTACTTTAAATGTGAGACTCATTTTTTAATCTAACCAATAGTCTGTGTATTCATTTTCTATTGCTATGTAAGAAATTG